CAGAGCGCGTTTGCGAACGTGCGAGCACGTAGACACAAAGTACCACGCCTGGGTCTTTTAGTTTGTGCCAATCAGCTGGGACGGCCTCCGCAGCTTCCTAGAGTTCATCTGGATTCGAGGTCGTGCTGACTGACTGCTGGCATCACGCTGGGCAACCACATGCACATGCATCCGCTCTCATGCCCCCTCACCACCCAGCCCACCCACCCCCAACCCCCAACCATGCATGTGCTTATTCACAGAGCCATCATAGAGTGCAGAGATTTGTGCAGTGAATCTGAAACAAACCCACTGAAAGAAGAGGAATGCCCAGTGCTTGACAACCGTGCTAATCGACCAGCCCCCTCCCCAGCAATGAAGCTAAATGTTTTTACCCCCCCAGACCTTTATCTTTTCAGTCACTCTGACAGCTCCTCTCTTGTCTCATCCTCTTCATCGCCTTCTCTGTCGCCTCGCTCCTTGCCGGCAAACCCCTTTCCCCCTCGCCACAGCCTCACACATGTAATCACTCATTAGAACCAAGGCAGTTGTCCATTAGGCAAAGCAGCCATTTTGGAAATTGCAGCAAATCTTCCATGAAAAGACATTCCCTCTAATGCGGCAGTCACGCTCGGAGGGAAAGGGAGAGAAAGATGGCAAAGGAGGGAAAAAAAGACAAGAGGGCAGAGATGGAGAGAGGCAGGGAAAAGAGGGGGAGTGGAAGAAGTGAGGCTGAGAGACAGAAAGGGAGAGAAAGAGAGAGCCCCCCCTGGCCATAAAGCCACCAAGCGAAAAAGCAAGCCTGCTGTTTGATTATGAAGTGACACCCTCACGAATGGAGGGAAGGATGGCAGCATGGAGAGAGGGGGTGTTTCAGAGGAGGCGAGTGAGAAGGAAATGAAGGGAAAAGGGAAGGGGTGATCTGAGAGAACGTGGAGACGGAGGCGGTAAAATTAGCCCCATCACTTTGCTTACCAAGGCAATCTCTAATGGAGAGTGCAGGACAAAAAAAAAAAAAAGGCACCAACAAGGTTGGAAGATGTGTGCAAGCCTGCAAAAGGACAGATGGTGCCCCCCCCCCTATTCCCTCCATCCATCCCAAAATGTGGCTCTAATTTGAGTAAAGTGATAGGAACCTCCTTAACCAATTACAACTCCCATCTCTTAAAGCTTGCATTAGGGCCTGTTTGTGGCAATCATCTCTAAATGTGTGTGCATATGTGTGTGTGTGTCAGTGTGAGTTCATCCAAGGAATCAACGGGAAACATTAGAGCAGATATGAGATGTTTGAAGTGACTGATGGTCTGTGAGCGGCGCTCTGCTGAGTGTGTGAGATCCGTTCTCCCACAACGCAACTGTTCATCTCCGCCTCGCCCAATCACAGATCAGCGACAGACCCGACCGTTTGGCACACACACACACACGTCTCATCTCTGCCCGGCTCACTTTCACCTTACCTACATCATCTTACTAAAGTATTTGCACACTTTGAACTCTCGTATTTCATCGCACACTAGCACATAATTCTGAATCAAATGAGCTAGTCATCATTTTCTTTTTACCACAGCAGATCTGAAAAGAGTGGTGGGTATTGTCTTTACTCCAACACCCCTAAGTTAAATTGAACGCTCCAATAGTTGAGTCCCATTCTGCTTTGACAAATAGTTCAAGATTTTTTGTTTTTAGCTCCATCCATCATTAGCTCACCAGCTTCGCAGCATCCTGTCAGCATGATGCTGCCACCACCATAAAGAGATTGTGTGTATGGAGTGTTGGAAGTTTTGCATCAAGGCCACACAGTTACATTTGTTTTGCTCACCCTCTGCATGCTTGCTGTGTACATGGCAGAATGTATCAGGTTTTATGCAATAAATAAAAACTTAAGGGGTAAAAAAAATGTTCTCGGAAAAAAATTGGGGGTTGGATTTTACATTGAAAGATGCAGTTAAACATCATTAGAGCGCAGCTGGTCAGTTTATACGGCAGATGGACTTTGATTTATTGCATAACGATGAATAAACATGGGAAAGTATAAACTGTTCTTCAAACAGACGAGCTAGTGAACATCCAAATGCTTTTAGCTGCCACTGAATTGTTCCCATTTTCTTAGCAGACTTATTTTTAAAACAGTCTGGACATCTGGTTGTCAAAATCCATCTTTAAATTGTTCAATTCACACTTGCTTTTTGCAGCAATTCGAATCATTTGCGTGAAAATCCACTGGACAGCTGCAGGGGAACCCAGCTGCAGAGAGGGAGCGAGATAGAGATGATGGATCTCGGCACATGGGCCGATGCTGCTGCATGGTCGAACATTTCTGGATGAGCGCGTTTCTCTTTCCTGCTTCTCATAAGTACAGATTTCACTCCAAAACCACTTCCTCTGAGAAAGTGAGCAGATGTTCCGTATGTGCAATGTGTATGTGTCACCGAGGGTGGATTTCCTCCACGCCGACGAGACATACAGCTGATCTGAAAGCTTTGCCCCGACGCCGACACGCAAAAGCCCCCCTTCGCTGAAGAACACAGATGATCTTTTTCACACTTTCGCTCGTCCTCTTGCCCGAAGACAAACGCTCCCCGCATGAATGCGGTGCTGTGATGGAACCAAAACAATGAGCTCAGCGAGAAAAATGAAAAACAAAAAAAAAAAAACAGGGCAATGAGACAAAAACGAGAGGCAAACGTAGATGTGACAGCGAGAGAATGTGCTTCTAGTTTCCATTGTTGTGTTGCACATAATGTGGAGAGGCACCGCTTTTCTTCGGGGTGTTATTAAGCTTATAGTTCGTTGTTTCTGCTGTCAGGACAGATCGGATAGCTGATTTAACCTGAGGGCAGAGACCATCTCTGTATGCAGACCTTTCTTCTCCTCGCTCTGCTCTGGGTGCACAAAGAGAGCGAGTTCGAAACGTTGCTCGCAAAGTGGCAAAAGCCCGTTTACCCCGCGTGCGCGCCGACCTCTCGGCTCGAGGTGCACAATGACCGAGCACGTTATCACCTCTGACCGGAGTCGGGGATTTGGGGAGGGGGGCAGACCACAGGAGTCAGGGCTGACGCCAGAGTAGAAAATACCAGGGTTAATGTGCGCATGTGTGTGTGTGTAAGTCCCAGCAGTAATAATCACTCGGATTAGAGCGGAGCCAAACCCCCGCAGGGTCCTCCACCTCTTCCTCCCCCACCACCCAGTTCCAGAGTATCCTGCCCAGCCCAGGCAGCAGCACTGATCCCCAGTTGGAGCAATCATGGGAAGCCATCACCCCAAACAAATTTGAGTCTTACTTCTGACTCCTTCTTTGTCCTTTTAATCAGTAAAAGTCAGAAAAAAAAAGAAAAGAAATATTGACCAAGCTTGGGCAACACAAAGGCGTTCAACAAGCGCACCCTTCGGCCGCAAGGGTGCAGTGAAATGGAAGTTGATACAGCCGTCAATATGTCTGTGTGAGGGATGCAGCATGTGGGCTACAACAATGGGGAGGCGTGGGGAGGAAAGTGGGTTACACCCTGAAAAGACTCTGCATCGATGTCTGAGTATCTGGCAGTCAAAACAAGGGATTATCACCGAGTGCTACACCAACCCTACGATGAAATCAGCCAAAGCTCGGAGTGTAATTCGGTGGGAGGGCAACCTCTGACTGGCATCCATCAGCAAATGTCAACGCTTCCGTAGCATCTGTGGCAGAACGCCTGGTAACGTCAATCAATCTCCGTCTCAATGTTTCCATTATCGTCCCATTATTTCAAGAGGAGGCGAGCAATTCTGGTCATTCTTCTTTTATCCAGAACATTCTGCCATTCGGTAATAAGAAGGTATCTGTTAATTAATTAAGAGTCGCTCTGATTGTGTCGATGGGTTAAGGTATAGTGCGATGACGCTGTTAAATAAAGGTTTTGTTTACTCGGTGTCACAACTATAGGGAAGATCTAATCAATCAGAAGGCCTATATGTCGTTATCGGCCAGGAAAGGCCTAATCGGTACATCTCTGGTCAAAACGATACTTTTGAAGGAAATGTATAAAGTTCAAAAGGGTTCAATCGAGAGGCTAAAGAAAATGGCTTATGTTTATGACAACAAAAACAGAACGCTTGACACAGATAATGTGATAATTTATTAGGTTTTAATTAGTAGAATTTGAATTATAAATACTCCAATCAGTCTTTCCTGGTTGGTTTTGAATCCTGGTTCTCTGTTTTTATCTGATAGATCAGAATAAAAATAGAAAAAAAAAGAAAGAAATTACAATATAATCATAATTTATATCTTAAAGCATAACAACCCCTGGCTGACCTTTTATTAAGCTAAACAAAGTTGATGAAAGTAGATGTTGAGAAACTGATTCTCCAGTATTTTACCCGGCCAACACCAGAACCGAACAAGGGAAAATCGGCTGATTTATGCATTTGTGATCGGTGCATGTGTGACTAGAAACACACACTTTAATGAACACTTTAAACTACGACCTCTATGCAAGAAACCTTTAGTTTCTCTGCTGTGCATTTACAAGCCACCTGAAAATTAAAACGAAACAAAAAACAAGGAACGGAATTGGCAAGAAGATGCCTGATCAGTTCAGCTCTAGACATTGCTGACAAGAAAAACACTTTCCAGGGGTTGATATGAAATAGTAGAACCAAAAACCGCTTCTGATGCAATAAAAGTTACTGAATAAATATAAATGTTAAATGCTTAAAAGTGAATGCAATGTGTTAATAATTTATTACGTTTCAATAGGTGGAATGTATTCTATTTCATCTCTAATTAGTCCATTAATCTTGATTACGGTGCCTCCCTCCTTCCTTGTTAGTATGAAAAAACCCCAGCCAAATTAGCTTATAACTTTACAGGCTACGAAAGGAATTTTAAAACTAATAATATAAAAAACTAAGTAGTCTGGTTTAAAAGTTTCTGCAGAGCAGGTTCCAACTACATCAGACTGATCCGAGCTCTGGTTTCCAGACATACCGGACTACCGGGCTTCGTTACAGGATTTAGTTAAAGCAAAACACGTCCCGGTTTTTACCTCTGGTTCTTCTGCTTGTTCTCCTTCTTGTTGAGGACCCCCGGCACACAGTTGGTGAGCTCGGTCCAGTCGGCGTGCAAGCCGCAGCTCCAGCCGGTGGAGAACCGCGAGAAGAGCCAGGTCTCCTTGCGGTTCGGCCGGTAGCAGGTACACTTCTTCTGGCCCGGTCTGCAGTCGCAGGGAACCTCCAGGCGGACATTCTGGACCAGGTGCCGACCGAAGGTAGTCCCCCCTGTCTTCTGGATGTGCAAAAACACAATCACGTCCTCCCCCTTGATCTGGAAATCGATGGTCCTCTCCAGGTCCCTGACGGGGAAGTAGTATTTCTTAACGTAGTGGGGGTCCGGAGTGGGGAAGATGTCCCCCTCGTCGTCCTCCGTGAAGTAACCGTGCGGGGAGCCGAAATTGATCACCCCGGGGGCCACGTACTGATAGAGGATCAGCATAAAACACACGGATCCGATGACGATCAACAAGAATTTGCTGCTCCTCTCGACCATGATCCTTCCCAGTGCGGTGGTCCCTGCAGCACGCTACCATTTCCCAGTCAAGCCGACAACAGAGAGCGGAGCGCTCGGCTGCTTCATGTTCGCTCTCTCCGCCAACAAGCGCTCGTCGTCGGGGCTCAAATGTGGCTCAGTCCGTTCCGAGGCGACCGGCGAAGTTGGTTCATGGTTCTGTGAGAGCGTTCAACTCGGTGAAAGACGCATTGTAAAACTCACTGAAAGCCCACCCCTCGGTGGCAGACCCCTTCCCCGCCGTGTACTTTCCGCTGGTTACCAGTCAACACAACAAGCTCACTGCATCACAGCGGAGCTATGTGTACCCAGGATGCAGCGCGAAACCCACCTTTTCAACCTCTCTCTCCGACAACACGCCGAAAGGGAGAGTCGGTTTAATTTGTTGGTTGACGGCACACGGCTGCGTCAGACACTTCGAGCCAATGAAATTACGGCAAATTTTCACATTTTGAAGTTACAGACACGAACGCTAATGTATTTTAACAGGATTTTATTTGATTTACCAAAATAAAGTAGTCCAAAATTATGAGTTGGAAAGAAAATGACATGTAATTTTCAAGTTATTATTATTATTATTTATTTTTATTTTTTTTGCATTTATACCTCTTTACTGTGATACCCTTCAATTAAATCCAGTGCAATGAGAACACAAGAGGACCCCAAATAATGTATGTAATTAAACCCTTGTATGAATTGAAATTTTGACTTGGCTGTCTACTTGATATGACTAATTGGGCAAGGAGATCATCATAGAACCAGCCAAAATGTCATTGAGACTGCAGAGATCCATAACCCACATAGAAGATAGGAAAACTACTAATTGTACAGTGAAATTTAAGGGAGAGTGGCAGGTAGCTATAAGAAGTCACATATAGCAGACAAGTGTTGTGATTTTTTATTTTTTTTTCCTGGGATAAATACAAACAGTGAATGGGAGCCTTAATTATCCTCAGTCAGCCACATAGAAACCTATGTGGCTTCTATGTGGCCGCATAGAAAAAACATAATTACCTCCTCCTTATGCAGTCCTCTTTTCACCTCTAAATTTTTAACCTCATTTTATGCTGCTTAAATGGAAGGTAGCATTAACTTTCCGTGCCTATTCAATAAAACGTTGCTCAGAAAATTAATCCAGAGACACTGAGGGGAGATTTACAAGCCTGTAACAGCAGCAAGGAGTCAGAGCTTTAAGAGGTACTCCACACAGACGTGTCCAGGACACAGGATGCAACAGTTACTTTCCTGCCGATCAAAGGACAGCCACACAAGTCTCCTACCTGGACTAGGAGAGAAAGGACTGCCAGTCAGGTTTAAAAGCCATGGTGTTACTGTATCTGACTGGCACTGTTGTCTTGCAGGAAGAAGGTCCTGGGTTTGAATCCTGGTGCACGGGTTTTACATGTTCTCCCAGTGTCTAAGTGAGTTCTCTCCAGGTACTCCAGTTTCCTCCCACAGTCCAAAAAACATAACCAGTAGGTTAACTGGTTTATCTAATTGTCCTTATGTGGGCTGTGTGCATGCATGGTTGCTTTTTCCATCTGTCACTGTGTTACCCTGCAATGTATTGGTGACCTGTCCAGGGCGTACTCTGCCTCTCACCCGATGGTTGCTAAAGATAGAGGTCCCACACCTCCTGCTGAGCCTGAATAGATAAACATTTAGATAAGATAGATAGCAAAGCAACCTGGGCCTTATTAACACATTAACAGTTCTACAGGCTGATCATGCAACGATACACTGATGCACTAATTCATGCAAAAGGAGCATTGACCAAGTATTAAGTGCATTTACTGTTTAAAGAAATCTTTTCAATGAATTAATGAATTAATGAATGAATGACTCAATCAAGTTTATTTGCCCAGCCCATTTCAGCAACATTGCAGTTCAAAGGGATTGTGAAAACATAAAAAAAAAAAAAACATAATTAAACTGTCATGAAAACCAAGAGCAAACATATTTTGTCAGGTGCCATCATTAGAGTCATTAATACATGTTGGTTAATGTTCCGTTTATTATGGTAGCAATTCTAAACAGCTGGGGTTTTAGTTTTGATTTATAGGAACTCAAATGTTTTTTTTTTTGTCAGTTTATTTTATGTATAATCCCATTTTCTGCGATATTTGGGATCTGTTTTTCATGAGATGTAAGCTTTGATATGAAAAAATACACGATAGGTTTAGTGAATTACTGAATTACATTTCCTTTTTTTGTAACATTGCATTTTATTGAAAAGCATTTAATTTACTTCAAATTAAATTAAAAAAAAATCTTATTAATCACAAAGGGAAACTGAATCGGTACCTAAATACAGCTATTGTATTGTGGCGTTAGGGGTTGGAGTGCAGTCCATTAAGTCCAGAGTTTTAATTTTTGTTTGTTTATTTTAATGGTCTCATCGGTTTATATTCGTATTCATAATCGCAAATGTAACAGAAACAAAATCCTAAAAAAAAAAAAAAAAAAAAAAAAAAAAAAAAAAAAAAAAAAAAAAAAAAAACTTGTGTAAATTTATTTTTTTTATGGGGGGGGGGGGGAAAAAAGGG